CCTATCACATGAATCATTATAATCCCTTTACAAATTTTATCTAGTACCCAAAAACCAACAAGCATATCCATTGGCTCTATCATAAAAAAGAATGTAACAACATAAAAGGACCAGGGAGAGATTCATAAATTTGTTAATTAAATTAGATAGACATAAATGAAACATACTTGCACCATTTCACTGACAAAGCTTAAACCTCCGGGTCCAATGAGAGATCCAGCCAACAGGTATCCAGTAAAGACCTGCAGAATTCACAATGCCATCGCACGTTTACAAAGAAAATAGTTTTAGGTCTGCCAAAACAATTTTGAAGCTTGTGCCCTGACGCTTGCCCTCTCAAGGTAAAGCAAAAAAATTTAGAAATGAAAGCATATGTTTAAAGGTTAGCCAGTTAGAAATGAAGTCGAAAAACTGGAATCTGTTTTGTATTAAAAAAGTCAGACTCAAATAGATCAGTAACTAGTTTTAGAAAACAATGGGAAATAGTTTTTAAATTATTTTCTAAAAAAACTACTGAAAACACACCCAAATAAGCACAATAACTCTAATAAGATGCATATTCATTTCTTAGGGTAACTGTTCTAACAAGGGGTGAGAATCATGATGAAAAATCCATACCCTTAAAGGATAAATAAAGTATTCTTCTCATTGCATGCGACTTCTCAACAAAGTTATTTATCACGTTGGGCATTGATCCTAGGAGCTCTCCAAGAACACTTATGCATCTATGCCATGGTCAAAAAGAATGCTACAGTACTAGACTATGATAACGATTTCATTCTTTAGAGAGAGAGAGAGAGAGAGAGAGAGAGAGAGAGGGAAAGAGGGAAAGAAGAAGGACGATAATCATACCGGTTGTCCTGCACAAGCAAAAGCAATGCCACCACAAGTTGCAGAAACAATAACAACGACTAGATCCGAAATCAATCTGCATATAAAACAACTTGATGAGATTGGATCTGTAACCCTTCATCATGTCGATGCATACCAAATGACAATGAATCAAGAAAAAAGACGAGACCCAAGGACAAAGTTGACTGTGCATGAAAGCCAACCTTAAATCCAATTGGAGCACTGGATACTTCGACTTGGGATTGGATATAATAAAGACATTGTCCTGATTAAATAATCCATTTTAATCAAAAAGAATCAACTTCAAGAATAGTATTATATTTATCGTGGAACTTAAAATGAAAAGTTGAAATGTATCAAGTATACACATTAGGCATACCTTCCGATCAATTAATGTGGGCATGTCTTCTGCTCGATTCTCATTATCTAAATTGAAGACATCATGGAACTGAAATGATCTAAGGTCCAAAAAAACAAATAAAGAGTACTATTACAGTGTAATTTTGTAGATCAGAACACATCTTCTAATAATGGGTTAGCATTCATGATAAACACTTCAATTCAAACCTATGAAAAAAAAGCTTTGTATACATGAACTGGAAGAAGAAGAACATACTTCTCCTCTTTCGATTCGTTCTTCTTTGACTTAACTCTGGCAACAGTCTCCAAAACTGCCTGACAAATGGAAACACGTTCATTTCAGCTAAAAAGACCAGTAAAGGATAACATTGGGCGTACATTACTAAACACCCTTGTCATTCCTACGGCATGATAATTTGTTCCTAAAAATACTCATAGTAATCATTGGTTAAAATGAGAGGGACGCAAGAGGATGATAATACCCCATCAGAGAACTTAAATCTGATGGCTTGAATTCAGAGGAATCTTGTCGTGTTCAAATGGAAATTTGAATTAACTAAAAGGACACATATTGAACAGAAAGAGCAGGTTGGTTTGCCTTCTGGGTTCTATTATTTAGATTTTCTACTATTAAAAGTTCGTAGAAAGAAAAGACCGGCAGTGACCAGGAAAAACGTCAACCTAACCTGCTTATCAGCTACGCTGTTGTTGAAGCTGCCAGCATCCGCGGCTGCAAGGGAAAGTGAAAAACATGGATACTCTCAATAAATTTAATGAAGCCATAGTTAATTTCTCAAGAATAGGCCAAAAGGAATACGGGAATGTAATGGAATTTATTAAATTATTATATAATTTTCCAAGACCATAGTGCATCAAAAGCTCTTTCCAGTTCAATTCCTGCTAACTAACTTTCCACATTTCCGGAGACCGAGGGAGCATCAAAGTAGCATGCAGAACATGAATTCCAACAAACTCCCAATACCAAACCAAATCACTAACGTAAAACAGCTCTCGAGGTAAGAACACCTGACGAGTAACTGGAACAGGTGGAAACAAACATAAAAAGTAAACGTAAAAGAACACGCGACAGAGGCACGAACAAGAACTAACCAGAAACCGAAAAAATCAAAGGAAAGAAGAAAAACTGGCATCAATGTTCAAAAATCAAAGAAATGAAAGAACACAAACGCATTCCGCAAATTACGGATTCCCAGCCCAACAAGGGAGCTTACAAACCCTAAAACAACAGAGAATGCAAGGAAAAGAGAAGTGGAATGCAGATCAACAAACCTTGATCACTCTGCCCATTCTCAATGAATTCCCTCTCGAGAGCCTGATCGATTATATCAGCAAAACTATGGTCGTCATTGGCGGATCTCGAGGAGTTAGAATCGGAAGTTGCATTGATCTCGCCGAACACCAAGTCGGATTTAGTGACGGTTAAGATGGAGATGGAGATGGAAAGGGAAGGGAAAGTAGCGAAGCAGAGAAGAAGGTGAAAGTATAGCAAGAGGACAAGAATTTCAGAGGACGGTAACCTCATTGCAGAAACGAGTAAGAAGGGAAACAGCAGCCGGCGCGGTGGCGGTGGCGGTGTCGGTGGCCTCCGTCTCCAAGTGGGCTTAAGAGGACGAAGAAAGGCGGGGGGGCGAAAAGGTGGTTTATGTTCCTCGTTGTTTATTTATAAATTTTATTTGTTCAGTGAAGTATCGGCCAACGGAGCAAGTGATGAAAACAGGAAAGTACGAAAGTACCCCTGGAAGTTGGAATGAATTACATCGGTGACGGTGGAGAAGAAAAATGCGATCTGTACGCGCGTTACGCAATAGACGTGTGAATCTGAATCTGAGTTTGGTCCCTCCCTTTTATAGATTAATTTCAAATTTATATATATATATATATATATGTACTCAACAAATATTAATAGTAAATAAATATATAAATATTAAAAAATATTCCTGAAGTATCAGATATATTTTAATTCATGTTTATTGCCATAAATAATAAATAGGTTACCAAATATAGATTAGTTTGTAATAAAATGAATTTGTATGGAACATTATAAATCAAAAATATATTGTGAATTTTAAATATAAGTTTTCTTGACTTTATTTTTAATTTCTCCCAACTTTAATGAATCTCTAAAAAAGACTCTCTTAACTTAATAAAAAAGTTTGGAAGACTAACAAAAAGTAGACTTATTTCTACGTTTTGTGAATAATTCTAAATTTAATAAATAAGGTTTTTTCCTTCTTTTTTTTTTCTTTTCTTTTTCCAATTTCAGGTGCGTTCACGTGTCATATTGTAAACACATGCCTTATGAAATTTTGTTGGCCCTCTTCTCATCGGTATATATTTATGTTAGTGATGGCTGTTAGTGGATCAATCATGTCGAACAATGATATAAAATCTTACCCTAAAAAAAGGAAGATAAACAATGGTCTATAATTAAGGAAAACTAATTTTGTATGTAGATTGATTTCTAAATTTTGTAGTTATTCCATGAATTGGGAATAATTCAGAATTTTTTAAATAAAATTCAGTTTTAAAGTTAAATTAATAAAAATATACCAGCAATAATTTTGAACTAAAAAAAAAATCTAAAGATCAGTTTGGGAGTAACCTTAACCCACTTTACTTTTATATATATATATAAATAAATAAATAGTCAAACAAATTTTTATAGTCTATATACACACAAAAACTATATATCGGCATTTTCATATTACTTTTGAAAGTTAATGAGTAATTTTTGTAAATTTGATAGTTAATAAAAATAAATAAAAACTTAGATGTATTTTTTGAAGATTACTTGTCTATTTTTAAAACTCTTAACAAGTTTAAATAAAATATAAAGCTTTTATCTAAAACTAATGTTACCGGTAATTTCCAATATTTTTTTTTTAGTTATTTTTAAAATTTTTAATGTATTATTGAAATTTTTGAAATTTTAAATTTTTTTTTAGACGATTGTGGAATACCTAATTAAGTTCAAAAGACCAGAGATTAAATAAAAAAAATTAATTAAATAAAAAAAAAGATTCTCACGCTTTTTTAAAAATGTTATTTAAATGTTTTCGATAGACTAAAATTGAACGCGAACGAATTTCGAAGCCCACGATGAACCAATAAAAAACTCAACACGTGTTGGAATCATCTCTGAGCGAACAAAACCTCAACACGTGGACGGCCACGACAGTTCGAGCTTATTGGGAAAACTCATTGGACCGAACCGGAAAGGACTATCATTTTTCACGAGGCGATTTGTTCGAAACAATTCCGGTTTCGGCTAAACCGCGGGTTCACCTTTTTTGGGGTCTGTAGCCGACGGCAATGGCACGTGACATCGCCATGCACTAGGGGCGGTTTGTGATGAATTCTTTTAATGCAATTAAATTACAAATTTTCTCTCTATAATTTCAAAATTATAATTATACCTATAATATTTACAAAAAATATATATATCAAATAAAAAAAAAAGCGTAACTATCCCATTCTCTTTAAAATTGACTGCAACTTATCAATTCAAATCGACATGTCGATTATCAACACCAACTTAAGCTTGAAATCGACATGTACTATAATATATATTTATATTATTTTAAAAATTTTGCATAAATTACACCTAAACTATTTATGAAAAATTGAATAAATTATACTAATATTGTACGGAATAAATGTTATTAAAATTTTAATTATGGACACATTAAAAACTGATTGAATTACGTGAAATTAAAAAAAGAAAGTATGGAAAAGGGTGAAGTTATATTTTTAAAAAATAAAATAGATTCTGTTGTTATAAAAACTCACCCATGTTGGTTGAGCCATTTCAATCCTCCCAAACTTGAACCACAGCATACCTTGTCGGCCCTATATCTCTAAAGCGACCATGGCGGTAAGCAACCGCATAACAGCGATTCTGAACTTCCTAATCTTCCTAAGTTCCATCCCCGTCATAGCCGCCGGAATCTGGCTTGCCTCTAAGCCCGACAACGAGTGTGTCCAGCTTCTCCGCTGGCCGGTTGTGGTTCTCGGTGGCCTCCTCCTCCTCGTCTCTCTCGTCGGCTTCGTCGGCGCCTACTGCAACCGCCCTGGTTTCTTGGCTGTCTACCTCTTCTGCATGGCCCTCCTCATCCTCCTCCACCTAATTCTCCTTGTCATCGCCTTCACCGTCACCCGCCCCGACGGCAGCCATCCCGTCGCCGGTACCCGGTTCCAGGAGTATCGCCTCGACGGTTACTCCTCATGGCTCCGAAACCACGTCACTAGCACCGGAAGTTGGCAGAACGTGCGTACGTGCTTGGCTGTTTCCGATGTCTGTCCAAAGCTGGATCGGCAGTTTTCCTCCGCCCACCAGTTTTTCGCGGCGGATATTTCCCCACTTCAGGCAAGTTTTTATTTATTATTATTATTAAAATGAATTACCCTTGTTTTTAACCATTATTCTTTAGAATATATTTGAGACAAAAGTACTACTAAATTAATACTCTGTCTAAAACAAATATTAACTTTTGAACATTAAAAAATAAAAATAAATAAATAACACTATTATGCATCATTTTTTTTTATGAAAATAAACAAATAAATGTTCTACTCACTAACCTTTTATTTAAAAAAACAAAATTAAACAAATGACTAGAACCGCTAACCAACCCATCAAAATTATTTGAAATTTGAACGATTAGACTGAGCCTAAAAAATAACTAAACCCAACTCGACCATTCAGTTTATAAATATTTTTATTAACTTAACTAAAAAATATATATATATTAATAACAAAAACATTAGCTAAGTTATTTTTTTAAAAGTGTTCAATTCATTTTTTAATAAAAATTGTTTGAAATTGGAACAATTAGACTGAGTCTAAAAAATAACTTAGATAGTTTACTGAAATGGAATTGGGATTGAAGTAATCTCCATTAATGTTTACAGTTAAAATATAATACAACCGACTAATACCTAAAAATAAAACTAACTAAATCTAGTAAAGTAAATAAGATGGTAAACAAAGTAAATAAGATAAAATATACGGCTAATAACTCTAACAAAATAAAGAAAAAATATTAACTGTTTACCGATATCTAAGATATACCGTATAATTAGTTATTATAATATATTCTCTTTGATATGTAAAAAAATAAAAAAACAAAATAGAAAGTTTATAAATGTTTTTATTAATTTAACTAAATAATAATAATAACAAAAACATTAGGTAAGTTATTTTTCAAAAATTGTAATTAATTGAGAGAGATAAATCCGTGAAGAACTGGTTTCACGGAATCTGTGAAGGGGACATGGAAATGGAAACTCCGAGACACAGAAAGAAAAAGGAGTTTGGGATGAAGATGAAGATGAAGATGAAGATGAAGATGAAGATGAAGATGAAGATGAAGATGAAGATGAAGATGAAGATGAAGATGAAGATGAAGATGAAGATGAAGATGAAGAAGGTTCGATCGAATCTCGGAAGTGGAATTAGAAACAGGAACGGAACAATGCTTTTCAAGGAATCTCACCCCATTTAGACACCAAAAGCAAAACATTATTCGAATCACAAAAGCAGAACAGCAATCCAAAACCCTAACGATTTCATCGAATAAATCCAATAAAACCTAATCCGATTTGATCTCATCCATTTTCCTCTAAATTTAAACAGTCAGGCTGCTGCAAACCGCCGGCGGCGTGCGGATACACTTACGAGACCCCGACGACATGGGTAAACCCGAACAACCCGACGTCTGACCCGGATTGCTTGATGTGGAGCAACGACAGGACCCGACTCTGTTACGATTGCAGCGGCTGCAAGGCAGGGCTGCTCGGAAACCTCCGCCAGGAGTGGCGGAAGGCAAACGCCGTTCTCATCGTCGCGGTGGTGGTTCTGATTTTCGTGTATCTCGTCGCCTGTGCCGCCTATAAGAATGCGCAAATCCAGAATATCTCTGTTCGGTATAAACATGGGTGGATTTGAGTTTACCCCCACATCCAAACGCTCCCCATTTTCCCTTCAATTGAATGCTTATGTATGTTGTTCATCTTGTACTCTTTTAATTAACGATATAATGTTATTTAATTTAGTTACTATAAGAATATTAATTTATAAAAAAATGCACAAATTTAGATAATATATTTGTAGGGAATTCATATACAAACACATCTTTGGATAGTTGGATCCTCAGATATTTCACATTTAAAAAATATGTTATGATTCTCATCCATTTCTCTCGAGTAACTACATATGTTACAACTAAAACACCTATGCACGATAATTTAAAATAAATAATTACATTATGTTTATAATATTACGAGAGACCTAACCGTTAGAGTTTCCTACCCAGCTACCTTTTGAAGCGAACCAATGGGAGAAGTCCAATTATTTGGAAGCATCTTATATATCAAATGATTGACAGTAGGTGTATTATGACAACCATCAATCCATCCTACTCGAATGAATTCTATTGTGGAGCTGTATGCACTGCACAAATTATGCATGTACGGTTGTTAATCTTATATTTTTTATTCTCTTTGACTCAACTCATCATAATCATGCGAGATAGAGAAAATCATTTATTAAATATCAGGATAATAATTCATCAACCTGCTAGTTTTTATTTTTTTTTATTTTTTATATTGCCTTTGTGATCGGCAGTTAATGCTTAATGATTAAGTGTTTTTTTCCCATAAAAAAGAATGATTCAATCAATAATTATGGTTGATTTGTACTTACGCAATAATTATCCTTATTTAAAAAAAGAAAAGAAGAAGATTAAAAAGAATGGTAAGAAATGGATCTCATTTACACGAAGGATCCATTACTGGGTAGGTAAATATAGCTAAGTTACAATGCTAACAACCTATCTCCAACTAGGATTAAAAATAATCGTTTTAAAAAATTAAAAAGTAAGAGTTTAATTTATTTTTTAATAAATTGTAATTTTAATTTATTTTTTTCATATGAAATTTGCATTGCATTATTATCATACAAATTAAATATTTTAAAATGTTCAAATTATTTAATTCCAATTATTTTGGGAATAATTGTTTTTTATTAAAAAAAAATCAATTTTCTGAAATAAATAAATAAATAGTTTTCTATGAATTTTCGTCCATCGACTCTAATAATAATAATAATAATATAAAATCCAAAATAAAAATCTATTTATATTCTCATCTTGTATTCGCTCTCATCAGTTCCGCCCCTTACTCCGACCAGGTCTTATTCCTCCTCTCCGTCACCGCCGCCGCCATTTTCGCCGGCAATGGACGGACCTAGATTCGTAATCGAAGCACCAGAAGCGGAATCCATGGCGAAAAAATCAGGCATCGCAATCCCTCAGCTTCTTCCATCTCTGGTCGAATCGGCGCAGGGATTAGCCCGGCCGCCGATCTCTAAATTCCACGTCGGCGCCGTCGGACTCGGATCCTCCGGCAGAGTGTTCTTTGGAGTGAATCTTGAATTCCCCGGCCTTCCTCTTCATCACTCTGTTCACGCCGAACAATTCCTCGTCATGAATCTCGCTCTCAACGACGAATCTCGCCTCAATTTCCTTGCCGTCTCTGCCGCGCCGTGTGGCCATTGCCGCCAATTTCTTCAAGAAGTTCGCGCCGCTGCCGAGATCAAAATCTTCGTCTCCTCAATCGAATCCTGTTCCAAATCGAACGATTACGTTCCTCTCCCCGAACTTCTCCCCCATCGATTTGGCCCCGACGACCTTCTTGATAAGAGCATTCCGTTGATCCTCGAACCTCGATTTAACGGCCTTTCCCTGCCGGACGAATCCGCCGGAAATCATAATGGCGATTGGGAGATACTCAAACGCGCCGCCCTAAACGCTGCGAATGTGTCCCACGCGCCGTACAGTAAATGTCCTTCAGGAGTTGCGTTGATGGACGCCGATGGACGAATTTACAAAGGACCGTACATGGAATCGGCGGCGTATAATCCGAGTATGGGGCCGGTACAGGCGGCGGTGATAGCGTACGTCTCCGGCGGTGGTGAAGGGTATGAGACAATCGTCGCCGCCGTGTTGGTGGAGAAGGAGGGCGTGGAGGTGAAGCAAGAACACACAGCAAGGCTGTTACTGCAGGTGATCTCGCCGGTATGTGAATTCAGAGTGGTTCATTGTATCGCCGCCGTGTGATTGGGCGGAAGAAATTACCGGAGGTTCCTCCATTAGAGAAGAAACTGAAGTGTTTGGTGCATGTTAATAAAGACGATTTCGGAATTTCAATGGCTCTGTAATGTTTAAAAGCTTCCGCAGAGAAATTAATGGATCATCATTTTTTTCTTTTTAAATTTGGATCACAATTTCCGAGATGATTTAGGCCGATTCTCCATAAAATAAAATTAAAAATTCCTTTGACATCATTTTAATCAACGCTTAATTAAGAATTTAAGATAAAGGGATTATGATAATATGAATCTTATATCAATTCTTTATGACCCATATCATCATTTTAAAGTTTCTTAAAACAAAAGACATTCTATAAGCATCGTAAGCTTCGTCCCTACGAAGATCGGGTTCAACCGAGAATTATTTCTCGATTTTATTTTTTAAAATTATGATTAAATATAAAATACAAATGGTTCAAAATAAGAGGTATAGAACCGAAAGGTAGAAGAATGGAATGAAGAATGAGATGTGGCGGCGGAGTAAATGGTCGGAAGGTGGAGGTTGACGGCGGCGAATATGGCTGGTGGGAAGGAGAGGTCCAATCCACTATACTATCCAACTTCTGCGGGGGAATCGTTTGTTTTTTCCCACTTCAATTGATTCTACACAAGTTCAACACCAAAAAACAAAAAAGAAAAAAGAAGATGCCTTTGAAAAGCATCATTACTTTTATGTCGGTTTTTTGAACGTTCTAAAATATTTCTAGAGAGTGAGTCGAGATTTTCGACCTGAGAATTAAGAAACTTGTAATTAGATTATAAGTTTGGAAAGCTCGAGTTTTAAAAAGTTATGTAAATGAATGGGTCTGAGAGAATAGGTTTGGTATACAATCCTTCACCTATTAAACACTAATAAACCCAATAGATAAATATGGATTCTAATTCTTACACCAAACCCACCAAAATTCAACCCCTAACTCAGACACCTCTTTATGGCTCGTTTGTTTCAAGGTCCATGAGTGTGAGTTATAAGCATATAAATTATAATTCACATCCTTTTCAGACGCTTTTAATTTTCTAATAAATTAATACGAGAGACTAAATTAAAACAAATATAGATAACGAAGCATTCTTTATAAAGGTGTGAAAACCTCTCTCTAGTTGATGTGTTTTAAAAACTTTGAAAAGAAGCTATAAAGCCCAAAAAATATAATATCTACTAACGATAGGCTAGGTTCTTACACAGAGATTTTAATTAAAATAAAAGCAAGCAAAGCTAATGGACAAGGAAACCCAGGGAGTCAATTATGAACAGTAACAACAAAATTTACAAGGAAAAACATGAAACTCAAACTCTTTTCCCTTTTAGAACATCAAGAGCCATAAAATAAAGCGCTGTTTGTTTGTTTTTTCTATGATAGGGAGAAAGAAGCAGAGGCAGCGTGCTTGAGAGGCATCTTGATGACACCTCTTCCACCTGCACATTCTGATAAACCTTCTTCATCCAAAGAGAAAATATCCTCACTTCCTTTCAATGCTCCATGCACAAACACCATCACCACCCCAATGGACATAGAAATTATAATGTTTTTAGTTGCATGCGTAAAGAAAAGCAATGCAACGGTGACTAAACTCAAAACCACCATCACCAATCGATCGTCGACCGCCCTGCCCCGAATCACAAAGGGTTCGTCGTGTAAGAAATATAAGTACAGCCAAGCCAACAATGAGATGATGAAGACCATAAATGAAATGGGTTGCCATAGCAAACTTAGAAAGAGGATGAATAATATGATGAGAATGTAATTGGTCCAGAAGAACTCTGCATTGTTCTTAATTCTGTTGATTAGCTGCTTAGAGGATGCGGGGAAGGTCAGGTCTTGAAGCTGGATCATCTCCATCCATGGCCTTTGCGTGCCGAGGCACGACGCAATGCGCTCTCTTGCACGAGAAGTGGAATGCAGGTTCGATAAAGGGACTGGCTCCGTCGGGATTGTTCCATACGTTGCCATATTCCCTCTTATTTGGCCGTTGCTAGAGAGATGGAAAGATGGGAAGATGGGAAGAGGAGGTGAGAGAGAAAGAGGGAGAGGGCTGAAGGCGCCATTAAACGATAGCCATATATGGGGGAGAGAGAGAGGTTAAAAAGAACCATTTTTGGCAGAGCCTAAATACTTTGTTCTAAAAACAGAGAATATTATGTGCCACTAATGTTTGAACTGTAAAATCATCAGCCAAAACAGATATGGAAGCTACAGACTGGTATTTTTTCCCCCATGGAAACTACTTTTTATGTAAGCCAGACGTTCATATCAAACAACATAACTAAATTAAGAATACGAATGAAATTTGTGTTCTTCTGATCAACCAGAATTTAGCAATACTTTTGTCGAGTGAAATATCAGGAATGAAACCAAACCCAAATCTAGAAACTCATAATCTAAACGGGCTATCTAACCCTTGTGGGTCATCAATATGGCTGTGTGCCTCTCAGCCTAGATTTCTTAACCTACAGATCTAGGACACAGAGTAACTAGGATTTGTTTCTTTACGAGGCTAACAATCTCCTTGCAAATAGTGTTAGATTCCACATCGGTTAGGAGGAGAACGAAACATTCTTTGAAGGGTGTGGAAACCTCTCCCTAGAAACCTCGAGGGGAAACTCGAAAGGAAAAGTCCAAAGAGGACAATATCTGCTAGTGGTGGGCTTGGGGATAACCCTTGAATATTGTGCTACTCGTGCTTTAAAAGCCTTGTTGAGATACGAAGGGTGAACAATCTCTTGCAAATAGTTTTAGATCCCACGTCGATTGGGGAGGAGAATAAAACAAAGGGTGTGAAAACTTCTCCCTAGCAGACGCGTTTTAAAAACCTCAAGAGAAGCTCGAAAGGGAAAGTCCGAAGAGGACAATATCTGCTAGAGGTTGGCTTGAGAGAGATATGAAGGATGAATGAGAGGTTGAGATTCAACAATGAAAAGCACTAAGATGAATTAGATTAGCATACCATGTTTCCAGTATGAACCAGGAGGAGAATGGCGAGTGCTTGAGCTTTCACTTGGTGTGAAAGAACAAACTTCTACAGCATCCCCAGGGTGATCTTCCCAATACTTCTCCTGCACATTTTACAAGGATTGAAGAAGGTACAAGGGCATAAAAATGGAAGTGTATGAAGAAGAACAAGAAAGAACAATCCAAAAAACCCTACCATTAAACCACATTGCACGCTCTAAACTCCAGATTCCCAAATCGCAATGAACATCCAAGTTCAATGTTCAAAACAAAATTTAGACCTAAACCTAGACTGGGTGAGATGGATACACGCAGAATGACTTCCAGATTCCCAAATGGCAAGGAACATCGATTCCTTCCTATATAAACAATGGAATTATCAATAAAGTAGAGAACCGTTTCTCCTTCCCTTTCATCCATGTTTCAATCGGCTTAATTCACAGTTTCGGCGTCAATCGAATAGAATCAAAATGACACAAAATTGACACACATGCTAAGTAAAACGATAATTTGCATGAGAAGAAAAATAATTGAACGCGACACTACCGAAATTACCTTGTAGAGTTGCTCGGTGATGGCAGCGCCAATATATATTGTACTGTAACCAAAGGCGCAAACGATTTCGGAGGCCTACACGGATCGATCATGTCCCAGAGAATCGTTGCTTTCCTCCATAGAAAGCTGGCCATTTCTAGCAATCGCACTAGAATGAGAAGAAGAAGAAGAAATCGACTGATATTTCAAGGAAAACAAAATACAGAAATGGTGGTTACTCACTAATTCGTAGCGTAATCCGTAGTAGAGAAATGGGGAGTGGACAAACAAAACTATGGCCATTTGTTTTGAAGATTCGCAGCGAGGAAGAGGAAAATAGAGAAGCCCAATAAGAATGAGAATTGGGTCAGCTTCACCTTGAATTTTCGGTTTAAAGTTCGTCTCCTCTACAGCTTATATGTTCGTCAAAGAAAAAAAAATGGATTTTTAAAAGTTTATGAACGTAATTTAATTTTTTAGGGAACAAAATCAACAAATTTAAAAATTTAGCTGTTGGTTGATCATAAATTATAAGCAAATGAACCTATGAAACCACAGAATTCACAGACTAACGAAATATTAAAGCATCAAAGAAGAGAAAACAGACTTCTTTTGAACAACAGGAATAGAAAACAAAAGTTGGAATACTTATTTGAACACAAAATTCCATTCAACCCTTAATTGTAAATATAATACACATCATACTTACTTTCCTTAACCAAAAAAAAAAAAAAAAGGAGGAAGTTTGGCACTCCTATAATGTGGGGGCAAAATTTAGGTAAAACATGAACAGTCAACCTCACAGCTCCAGTAGTAAAGACACAAACGGACGTTCATCTCAACTTTCAAGCAGCAACATCAGAAGGAAGAGTAGTTTGAATGTTTGAAGGCATGAGAATATTGAAACCATCTGCAGCAGTAGAAACAACCATCCCTGGAATCTGAGCATGCCAATGTAATTCCTTCAAGTCCTTTTGCCCCTGGTGAGTGAGCAGAAGATGTGAGATCATCACGTGTCGATTTACGTAACAGATGCATGCTTATGTTAAAAAGAGTACAAAAAAAAAATGGAAGATGCAAAGAGGTACCTGATGAACAAATAGAAGTTGTGGAGGTAAATCTTCAGGTGCATTTACTTGTTCTTTGGTTTTTGCTTTGAACTCGGCTTCTTCTTCCTCATCCTTTTCTAAAGAGAGGTCCCATATTCTGGTACAAAAATCGAAGTAGCAATTCGAGTTTAGTGACGTGGGAACATAATAATCTTTTCATTAACTTCTCGTTGAGACTTACGTCAATTGGTTGTCGGATGATGACACTGCCAGTGTGGAGGCTTCATGTGGACTCCATTCTATGGACGTGATGGGATGTTTATGGTATTCAAAATGCGCTACTACAGAATCACCTTCCTGCCAATAACAGAGGAAAGAAAATGACAACTGTTACAGCAACACTTTCTACAGACTTGATTGCCAGCGATCATATAGTGATTAGCAAGATGTATTGCGTAAAGAGTTGGTTATAAATAGAAAGGTTGGGCTCTGTGGAGAGGCAAGTAAATATTGTATAATTCCTTAATCTTTTATATTTCAATATACCTTAGCTATGTGGTTTCTATTGTGTTGTTTGTGGAGGGAACATATGCTTGTAAGGTGTAAACTGCACACGTGCTTATATTTAAGTTTTCTTCGAGTCTAAAAGGCTTACCTTAAGCAATCGGAGATCACGAATAGAAAACGTTCCATCATCACAGCCAGATGCCAACATGCAGCTAGCAAGCCTAATGGCAAAACATAACTGCATAAGCCATATTAAAAAACAATGAAACAAAGACGGAGAAGTTACAGAACTTATAACTACCTGTTCCAAGAAATAACATTCACATCAGCGTTGTGTGCCTTAAAATAGGCTGCAGGAGACTTCCCTGAACGGACATCCCATACTGCAATATTCCCATCCACAGAAGAGGAAGCAAATACATGAGGTTCTGTAGGACTCCACTGCATAAACTCGAATTTAGCACTTGCCAGAATTTGATTTGTTTGAAGGAAATGTGATAGTTCAGAATTATAGTATACCTGCAGATCTTCAACGCTTGCAGAATGTCCAACAAATGGAGCGGCATCAACATTCCATGAAGTGCCAGACGAAGGCTCCCACAAATGAATAAAGTTTTTACAGTCCCCTAGCAAAGATGACAAAATGTATCAATAGAAAACAGCCACCAAAAGTCATCAAGTTTTCTGGTTTCCATGGCAAGAAGACAAATGCATACCAGACAGAAGCCTTCCAGGAACAAGTGGACTCCAGTCTATAGCATAACCTTCATCCTTGTGCTTGAACTTCATTAATGGAGCCTGATTAAAAACTGAAGATTCTCCCTGGCTAACTTCAGCTTCTGATTCGGCTAAAATATTGAGATGCGAGCTGAAGTCCCAAATCTGCATACCCAAAAAAAATGTTCATACTATAAAACTATATAAAAAGCTAAGAGAATAGGAAACGCCTACTTTTATAACCTTAAAGATAATAATAAAAAATTATAGGAACTTTTTTTTCAGTCCAAAAGCATAGGAAATTGTGCATAAAATAAAATGAAATAGATTTGAAACTTTCCCTGCAAAAATAAACGAACTCAAAGGTACATGTAATCATTCTTGAAGCATTACAAGACACAAGGACAAGCTCCAGAATTAGGGAGTATATAAATTCTGGAGTATAAATCAAGTCTAACCTGAACGTGGCCACTATCAGACCAAGATGCACATATATGAGGATTTTGCTGCATGGCACGTATACGATTTATGCATCCTTCGTGAGCTACCTTGCGCAGCTGTTGATGAAGAAAGTGTGAATATAAACACATTAGAATCATGGTAAGATACATAAACAGGTAGCAACGAAAGATTTGTTAATTTAACATAATACCTGCAAAATTGGTGCCTTAGATCCACCATCCTCCTCATCTTCACTGTCCTCATCACTGTCACTGCTATCACTGTCCATGTCAGCATCCTCCGTCTCTGGTTTATTCGGCAATAGTTCACGTCTCTTTCCAGACACATTAGATATCTTAAATATTCCAATGGAATTCCATGAAGCTTTCTCAGCCTGCAAACAAAATACCACAATATCTTGAAATAACGCCTTAAATTGAAAACAATGACGAGCTGGTAAAAGCAATAAAAGCATTGAAAATCTTGTAGTAGAAAGCATAAGTCCCTTTTTCATAAATATTTAGCTTAACCAATTTATCTCTGAAAAGATCACCAAATATACATTCATTACCAATTAAAATGAGTACGTCCTCAGAATACCATATTTCAAACTAAGAAAGACACCTTTTGTCCTGTTCCGGACAAGAATTAACAAATCAGACATGATAAAAGGCTTTTCCACTAATCAGACTCACCTGAGTCCCTGCGACAAGATAAACAGTGTGTGGAAACTCTGTCCTCACCAGGCCTAACGAGTCACGAACAATATCGAAGCTATAAACATAAACACAATTCAAACTGTAAATTTAAATCCTTAAATAATGAGAACATTAAAGTCTTAGAAAATAAAAAGAGCCAAAAATATAAATAGACCAACTGGGATAGCTATTACTTTCCCTAATATTCAAGAGAAATAATGCTTAAACCATCCCTTAGAGACCAAGATTTTCTACGATACATCATGTTTCTCAAGCAGGAATATTAAATTTCGACACATTATACCAAATCCAATCATCAATAGCTCGGTAGTCACAACAGACTGAAAATCCTAAAAAGTTAACAGTTGGGAAACCGAAATTAACAGATGACAATCTAAATTACCCCTTGGATTTTCCAACGTTGGTTAGAGAAATTCACCAAAATCTACGTTTCCGATTAATCTAGAGCTAAACTTAAATTTCAACCATCATGTTCGAACTCGATCATCAAAGACGACAGGTAAGGAAAGAATTAACAATACCTCAAACAGGGCCAACCAATGTGGAAGGCATGGAGAGAGTTGTACGCAGAGGGGTCACATTGAAGTTCCTCTCCTTCGTCCAACTTATCCACCCCCGGTTGCCAGACCTTTGCGGGCATTGACGGTACCG